TAAAAACTCATTGAATGGGAAATAGCATATCAGATAGAAATGAAAGAGATAATTCATGAACTGGAGAAGACATCTCGGGAGAATACTCAGAATTAGCAAACATAGAGGGCACAAAATAAAGAGGCTGCATGATATAATAGATAAAAGTTTCAGGAACCAGACTAACTTTGAATTCCAGCTCGACCACTAACTGGCTCTGTGAGCTTAGGCATGTTACTGTCCTCTTTATACTTCAGTTTCATCATCTGTTAAAAAAAATAGGGAGTTGTGTAAGGATGAAGTACTTGGACCAAAGCTGATAATATTAAGAATATAGAATAAGTATTAATATGACAGAGGTAAGCCCCAAATATCTATTATATCGAGAAACATGTGGGCTTAACTTCCCTACCAAAAGAAGGAGTTCTTCAGATGACTCACAAAAGACATCTCGTTTTATGCTGTGTAAGAAACATAGTAAGTACAAAGTTATTCAGGAAGATTAAAATAAAAAATGAGCAACGATATGCACAGAATATGCAAAAAAGAAAAAAGAGAAAAAAAATAAGAGTCATGATAATGTCTCACATGTAGAATTCAGAGCAAAAAGCATTAGAAACGACATAGAAATGTAGATTAAAGGTACAAACGGACAATTCACAGAGAAGATATGTGTTATGCATTTCTGTGCACCCAGTGATAGTGAGGCGATTTCATACAGCAGAAAATGCAGTAGGTTCAAAGATAAATCAGCAGAAATAGTAATTGAGTTTAGTTCTCCTCCCAGCCCAAGATGTAACGAGATGAAAAGCCTAAAAAAGGATTTAGAAAATGTAAATAACATTTTCAATGAAGTGGATGATATGCACATAAATTGAACTTTTGTCTGAAGTGGAAAATATGGCTTTAAAAAAGTATTTATGGAACCTTTACTAAAACCGATCATTTATTAGGTCACAAAGAAAAATTTATTGAAGTCTAAAGAATCAATACAGAAAGCATTGCTTGACCACAAAACAACAAAAGAAAATTCCACTGAGAAAGATTTAAAAACAAACCTGTTGAGTTAAAGAAGAGGATAAAAACAAACAAAACTGCAGAATTTCTAGAAAACAAGTGTTACAGGTTGAAGTGTATTCCCCCCAAATTCATAGGTTGAGGTCCTAACAGTACCCAAGAATGTAACCATATTTGGAAATAGGGTCATTGCAGATGTAATCGTTAAGATGAGATCAACTGGAGTAGTTTGGGTCCCTAATCCAATATGTCTGGTGTCTTAATTTAAAAAAAAAAAAAAAGGCAAAATGGGACACTGAGACATACACACAGAATGTCATATGGAAATGAAGGTAGAGATGGGAGTGATGCTACTTCAAGCCAGTGAACACCAAAGATTGCCAGGCAACCACCAGAAGCTAGGGGAGAGGCAGGGAGCAGCCCTTGAAGGAAGCAATTCTGCTCACGTATTGATCTCAGACCTCCAGCCTCCAGAACTATAAGACCATACATACTGGTTTTTAAGACACTCAGTTGGCAGTCCTTTATCCAAAACACTGAAAACATCACTGCTATTTGTGCTTAGTTGCCCAAATCTCCAATTAGACCATATTTCAGGGTTTACTACCCAGTAGATGCTCTAAATATTTTTGAATAAATAAGTCAAGCATTAAAGGAGAGTAAATTAAATTCTTCCTACAGTCTCTTCTAACTCAAAATTGTTGTTCATTTGTTTGTGTGCTTATTTTTGTTTCAATTCTGGGGGAACATTAGGCCTTTCAAAAGCTCCTAATCTATATGTCAAAGTAACAGGATCTTCGAAGTCATTGAAAAATACATTATTTTTCAAAATACTAAAATGGTGTAGAAAGAACACACGTTCATTAAGATCACTTCTTGAGGGCACCTGGGTGGCTCAGTTGGTTAAGCGTCTGACTTTGGCTCAGGTCATAATCCTGGAGTCCTGGGATCAAGCCCTGCGTTGGGCTCCCTGCTCAGCGGGGAGTCTGCTTCTCCCTCTGACCCTCCCCCCTCTCATGCTCTCTCTCTCTCTCATTCTCTCTCTCTCTCTCTCAAATAAGTAAATAAATAAATAAAATCTTTTTTAAAAAAAAGATCACTTCTTAGAAACTTTTAAAATATAAAGAGGCAAACCATTAAGTACTGAGCTCTCCACAAGAGCGAATAAATGAAATGAAGCTGTGAGGAAAAGGCATTGCTCACCCTCCCCTATATTATGGGGCAATGCGATGTAGCCGGCTAGCTCTAGCCAGAGCTCTCTAGCTCTCCCAGAGCCAACCAGCTGTGTGTTAAGCCCTGCTGACTGTAAAAACTCATGATGTTAAGCCCCTCTGGTTTTCAAAGCCAAATATTGTGGGGATTTGTCTTCCCTGAGTGGGTTCTCCTTGCCTACGGTGCCTGGTGTGGGGTCTGTTCTACTCCATTCTCTGTGCTTGCAGAGTCCCTCCCTCCTGAGGACAGTCCCATGGGTCAGCTTAGTTCCAAACCAAGTCCCTGCCCTTCCTATCATTTTTGATATGGCCTCGTCTTTATGTTCAGCTGTGGAGAGTCAGTTCTGCCAGTCCTCAGGTCATTTTCTGGGTTATTTACACTGATGTGGGTATTATGTAGGTGTATCCCTGGAACGAGGTGAATTCAGGATCCTCCTACTCCCAGAAGTCTCCAAGATAGTTTTAAAACTATGTAGCAACAACAACAAAAATGTTTACATAAAAATCAGCTGTAAACTATTACTATTTTTATGTTTTCTATTTTATATGCAACTATTGCTTATATTGTGTATAGTTCAGGCATTGAATGTAGACATTTTTGTATCATATTCTATCTCTCTAAAAAATTATATTTTCTTTATTCATCTGTCAACAGACACTTAGGTTGTTTCCGTACATTGGTTATTGTGAATATGCTGCAATGAACAAGTGAGTACAGAGATCTCTTCAAGGTAATAATTTTGTTTTCTTTGGATATATACCCAGAAGTGAGATTGCTGGATCATATGGTAGTTCCATTTTTAGTTTCTCAAGGAACCTCCATATTGTTTTCCGCTGTGGCTGAAAAAATTTACATTTCTACCAACATTGTGCAAGGGTTCCAACATGGAGTAATTTGAGCATCAGAAAAGGGGGATCAAAATACATATATGCTAAAATATATAGGTTCACAATGAGAATCCCCCCCAGAATTCTTTGGTCATTTTTGGAGGATGCTGGAGAACCAATTCATTACTATGTGCAGAAAACTGGTAAGTAAAGGGAAAGAATAAAGCATATATCTTGCCTTTTCTTTAAAACTGTGCCTCAAGGTAGCCAAATAGTTAGTGAGGAATGTTCTCCTTTACTGGAGAATTTCAGCTAATAAATGTAGAGGAAATAAAAGAATCATACTCTCACTTGCAGCCTACAATAAAACAATGATTCTAGGCAATGGTTGCTAAAACCAGTGACTGAAGGGCTAATGGAGAACTCAGAATGGACAATGTGGCTGACAAAATCTGATCTCACTGATCAGTCTTAACACCACAAAAGAGATTCAGCCAGATGTTGTGATGCAACAGGAAAGAAACAGTGGATTCTTACCTGAATGAAATCAAGCCACTAGACCAAACAATCAGTATAGAGGAAAAAAAGGAAAATAAATAAATATGTAGGTTAAAAGCAGGTATTTTGGTTTAAATGAACACTAGAGCATAAATCAGAAAAACTAAACTTTGGTTCAGGATTTCAACATGAACTAGCTGTGTAATGTTGGACAAGTTATTTAATATCTCTGGGCTTCTGTATCATCTGTAAATCATTGTATATACTTTGTTAATTACATTAATTATCTTCTTATAGGAAATCATCATTCTTCCAAATCATTTGATCTTATGATTTTTTTCCTTTTGGAATATCAGTAAATTATACAGAAATATAAAATTGCAGAATCAGTAGATAATTAGAATAAGTATTGGAAAAAGAGTTTTTTTCTTTCTTTCTGAAATTTTTACTAAACACCCTCAAACTGTATTACTAAGCTTTAAAGAAGTATATGAACTCAGTGAACTTAATTTTTTTACATGGAGAACTTCCTTCTTTTTTAAACATAGATATGCATGTTTTCACTAGCATTTGGAATTTCTTTTACTTTCTATATATGACATTAAATTGTCATAACTTAGAATATTAACTTAAATATAACTTATAAGAAAAAAGAACAATATGGAGAAAATAAAAAGTAACAAATTAAATTTATTTTTTCAAAATAATTGTGGTGTTTCTATGCAATAATAGAAAAAGCAAAAATTTCTTAATTATATAGATATGTGTCTATTTAAATGCTGACAAATGAATTTGGGGATTGAAAATTATTATTTTGCTTCCTTTGATCTTCCATCCCCCACTTCATATAAATAGCTTTTGATTTTTTTTTTTCTCTCTCTCTCTTTTTTTCTCTCTCTCTCTTTTTTTTTAGTGTGCTTTTTTATGTACCTTACCCTCATAGTTTAAACTACTACTGAATGTTCATGGAAATAAGCCATTGGGGTCATTTGACTTTAGCTTCCTCATTAGATTCTTCAATGTCCCTGGCTTCACTCTTTGCATATAAACACATTTGTTATTCTTAATCACTTCCTTTAATCAATCCCTTACTAGAGCATACTGCTTAACCTTTGAAAATCCACACTTGTATTTTACAAAAATGGAAAATTCAGACTTCTGCTGTGTGTGACACACCATTAACTGCACAAAGACACTCTGTATCTGTTATGTTACTGTTTACTGATGTGTTAATGTAATAATGACCCATCTGCTTCTGCTGTCTATGAGGTACTTTCTATCTATAGGGATGGAAATTAATGACAGTCTCTCTGAGATGCCTGATGTCAGAGCTGGGAAAGGTGTGAAGCGTATATAAGAGCTGGATTACTCATTGGCAAGTGGGGGACAAATACTCTAGTGGATGCAAGCTTGGGATTGTTCATGAAGCTTTCTTACCATTAGAGGCATTCTCTGATTTTGCTGACACTGAAACATTAAAAGGTAAAGAGTTTCCTGTTTATGGGAAAATATTATTTGTTTAGGGAAGAGCAGATTTGGGATTAAACATATGGCTTATTTCAAAGAAAGCCTAAAGGGATAAAATGGTATAATAACAATTTTCCAGACTGTTTAGAGAAGGAAATTGGGAAAGTGAAAATTTTAAAAATATTTGAAAATTGAGCAGTATCAAGGGACTATATCAATAAAACTACTATCTTTGGAGATTATGTTTAAAAAGAGATTTTTTTTTTTACAGTAGGTTCTAGTCTCAAATTCCATCAACCAGAGCTATAAAAAATTTCTTGATTTCAATGCTGAATTATTCTTTTCAGAAAATTTGAGAAGCAATGTGCCTCCTGAAGCTGCCGGTAGTTCTCATTGTAATCTCAGTTGCATTAAACCATCTGAAAGCTACTCCTATTAAAAGGTTAGTGTCTTAAAAATCTTGTTTTCTTTTGTAAAATGTGGGAAAATTAGAATTAAAATCTGCTATATAATTAACAGCCCTTATGCCAATAGATGCATCTTTCTGACAGAACTTCTGACAGACAGGAATGGATAGTTCCAGTTTTGTCAGGAAATATGCTCTTGGAACCTAGAGGGGCAAAACCAGAATACAAAGCAGGAAAAGCCAAAGGGTAGTAATTTCCACTATATTAACCTGATTCTCAAATAAACTAGAGAAACTTAAAACATATATTCTATATCAGGTGGGATTTTACTGTATATTTACATAGATTTTTTTCTCTTAAGAGGGCTCTGGCAATATCCAAAACTATTACATCACCGTCTGGCAATTGAAATACATAGAAATAATCAGGGAGCAAATTATTATTTTTAAGAACTAGTTTAAAAGCCATTGGCTCCTAGGGGATTCTTTCTATATTGTTAACTGTTCTATGAATGAAATAGAATTATTAAAAAATATGTTCTTCATGAGATTACTTCTGAGCTGCTCTAAATGTAAATTTATACTTCTTAAAAATGTTTTCAATAGGTAGCATGTGCATCAGAATTTCCTAAGAAGGCTTATTTCAAAAGGTGTCATGTCATTTAAGTGGTAATTTTAAGGAAGTCTAAAAACTCTGTCAGGTGAAAATGTTAGCAATAATTACAACTTTCAAGGGGAAAGAACTGTAATTCTCCATTTATTTAAAAGATTCTCAAGTCCAAATTCATGCATATGTCATAAACAATATAATTGAGGATTTGTTTGTGCCTAAATCAGTTTGACTCCTCATAGTCTTGTAGGACTCAACTTACACACTCTTTAAGACCGAGTAGTATTAAGGTTACTTTTGAAAAGAGTTTGCTTTGGGATGCATGGGTGGCTCAGTCATTAAGTGTCTGCCTTCGAGCTCAGGTCATGATCCCAGGGTCCCGGGATCGAACCCCGCATCGGCCTCCCTGCTCCGCGGGAAGCTTGCTTCTCCCTCTCCCGCTCCCCCTGCTTGTGTTCCCTCTCTCGCTGTGTTTCTCTCTGTCAAATAAATAAAATATTAAAAAAAAAAAACAAGAAAAGAGTTTCTTCAAGTCACATGAAAACTTTTCTTGTAGAATTATTAGTGTCTTGTCTATTTTCCTTTGAGGTGTTTTTTTGTCGAGGTGGCAGTCTGTGGTGATATGTAAAGAGTTCTGCAGCACCCACGTGTAATAAATAACAGGAATCCTCAGATTTCTTTTGTCCTTTCAGGCTTATTGAATTTACAGGATGTTCGTCTCAGAATTAACTCTAATTTTCAATTGGATTTTTGTGGGTAAAATCAGTGAAACTGACATGAAGTTTCTGATAAACCAGCAGAATAATAGAATAACAGGAAAATAGCAGTATTATCTAGTATTTCTGTCTATATCTTGATTTTTTTCTTTCATTAGATATAGACATTTGATAAGCACATTTATCCAGTATGTCTTTATGTATACGAGTTTATTATGAGGTGAACTCCACTCATAAATAAAATAGTATATAACATTATTTATTTTCAAGTTATTTTCATATTAGTCTCACAATCTCTTAATTTGAATCTTTGTTAGAAATACTGCCAAAGCATTCTTCAAATTACTCTTTAATGAATTTCCAGAAACCAGTATGTCTGATCATTTTTTTTAAAGGGGGAGAATTTATCATCCTGATCTGTTCAACCATGTAATATTCTATAAATCTCATAAAAAGCTGTGAAAGCCTATGTAGAAAATGACTCAAATCTCACACACTTTTTAAAAGGCAAAGCTGATATAGATTTATCAATGTCATTTTTCTTATAAAATTTAATCACCTCATTTGAGATCTTCTTTAACTTCTATGTCTGTATGAGATGAGATTAAGAGGAAACAAAATGACTTTACAAACCATCCCAAAAAATATTTTATACTCTTGACTGAGGCACAAGGATTACACACTTGCCCACCAACTTTTAAACACTCAGTAAATATCTGCCTAGCAGATAATCAGAGGTTAACCAACAGTATAATTACTTCCACAAATGAATATTGAGAACTGGAGCACGGATACAGTTTAAAACTGTTTTAAAAATCCTTGAGGGGTGCCCGGGTGGCACAGTCGGTTTTTCCACTCAGGTCGTGGTCTCAGAGTCATGAGATCAAGCCCCTCAACAGGCTTGGTCCTCAGCACAGAGTCTGCTTGAGATTTTCTCTTCCTCTCCCTCTGCCTCTCCCACTCATGCTCTCTCTGTGTCTAAAATAAATCTTTAAAAGCCCTTGAAACTGAGATGTTTTTAAAGAGAGATAATATAAGAATGATTCTTCAGTCTATAGTCATCACTGTTTAAACTCTTAAAGTTAGGAATTTGTGCATGTGTGTAGGTGGTCAATGGGTTTGAACTAGCGTCTGTCACTAGATGCTAGGCAGGCCTTGTCTGCCCAAGTAGTTAAAGAGAGAAAAAAATGCCTGAAAGTAGGGGTGTGATGCCTTTTACTAACCATTTCAGCCATCTTTTTCTATCTTAATGATAGTTTGGGAAAGAATCTTGTACATACTGATGTTATATTTACAAGAAAAGTCTTGTTTGGGAAAGCAGTTTCATAATAATGAAACAAATCAACATAGAAGCTCTTAATATTTCTTATAAGTGGAATGATGGCTCTTCTAGCTAACTCAAACAGGATATCATTTTAGTTGGAATAATTTTAAGTATTGTTACAGACCTTGAGACCAATTATCAACGTACTACTCAGACATTTAACACATAGATCAGTTCAGACTCTGCTCCAGGCATTTGCAAAATATATCTTGGGACAGATATCACTTTGAACCTTCCCAATTTGGCCCATTATTTCCTTTATTGCTTTAAACTTATTATTTTGAAGTGTTTGGGTCAAATTCTAATTTCTGCTTTTTTCAAGAAAAACTTATTCTCTTTTAGAATTAAGAGATTTATGAATTATTGGTTTAATTCTTAAAAAGCATTAAGTCATTCTTTGGAAATGTACATTGGCCATGCTTACTACACATGCAAAGAGAAATAATTAAATAAATAATATGACTAATATTGACATATTAGACCAGGTAATTAGGTCCCAAAATGGGTTTCTTTTGCCTGAATAATAGGTTTGTCAGCATACACTTATATTCAACAATACCAAGTTTACCTGATGCCATAAGAATTTTCTATATTTGGAAGAATATATGAGCATAAAACCCTAAAGATTTACATGAGATTTAAAAACACTTACTCTTGGGCTATCCCTATAGAGAGATATAGACAATGCAATATTCCCCATACAAAGCAAACACATTGAGATCAAATCTATTGCATTTTGCCCCAAATTATGTATAACAACTTGCTTCTGAATGTAGCTTCATATCTATATCTCTTTCCCAATTTACACTTATCCTAAGTTTTACTAATATTTCGATTTCCATGGAGCTGAAAACTAAAACATATCCCTAGTTTTCCTAATCATGTGCAAAAAAGGGAAGCATGTTATTATTCTGTATCCATTTCTAATACCATTTTGAGAGCACGATGGAACAAAGGGTGGTACAAAAATACAGAGTTGACATAAATTCTGAAATATAGAATTTATATATATATATATATAGAGAGAGAGAGAGAGAGAGAAACAAGAGTTAACATTCAAATGAATTACTTAACCACAGTGATAATTTCTGACTTACCTGGAATATTATTATGTAATTGTTCCAGGTGGTGAAAGAATGTGGTGAATACTAATACTATTAACATAAAAGTCTTTTGTTTTTAACATTCAACATAGTCCTATCATTAAAATTGTTAAAAAGAACCAAATGGGCAGAAGAAAGATAGTAATGTTCATGTATTTATGTTAAGAGTAATAGAACTCCCAATCTACAACAGTGAAAGTGCATGAACCAGTGATAAATTTGATTCCCCTTGAGCATTAATGGTACCTGGCATTTCTCTCTTAACACCCCCGATTTAATGATCTCAGGGATCTTAACAAAAATATCTTATACTGCTTAATTTTCATTGGAAAGTTGTGGGAAATAAATATATATATATTTAATTCCACATATTCCGGATTACATATAAATTTTATATTCTAAATCCTCTTTATATATTGGGAACTAGATTTATTAAGATTTAGAAGAATAAAAGAAGATTTAGAAGAATGTAAGACAAAGACACACTTTTTTATTATTATTACTATCTGGAATAACTGCTGAAATTTCCAAGGATCATACTGAGAAATTCAACATTGACTATAACGGATGTTTTGCTATATGATGTCCCAGACAAAAATTGCTTCTGCTGCATCTTCAAGGTGTCAAAAAATCTTGGTCATCCAGATGTTTCCAAACCAAAACGTTGAGTTATTTACATGAAAATGTTTCCTTTAGTTTTTATCAATATGGGATATCTGTTGTCCTATAGAAGTATGGGTTAGCCTGGTGATGGGTATTAAAGAGGGCATGTACTGAATAGAGCACTGGGTGTTACACGCAAACAATGAATCATGGAACACTACATCAAAAACTAATGATGTATGGTGATTAACATAACATAATAAAAATTTTTAAAAAAGGTGTATGCAATCTGAGTCTAAGGCTCTAACTTTCCATATTTGTTCCATGTCACCAGTCACCAGATGGAAAAGCGGAAATGCAACACTGCCACATGTGCAACTCAACGCCTGGCAAATTTCTTAGTTCGTTCCAGCAACAATCTTGGTGCCATTCTCTCACATACCAATGTGGGATCCAATACATATGGCAAGAGGAACACAGCTGAGATTTTAAACAGGGGACCATTGAATTACTTTCTCCTTTAGAGGTCAATGTATCTCCACAGTTCTTATTGTTTCATGTATAAATATCCTAGTGACTTCCTCTGTACTTTAACATTAGCATTAACATGAGTTTCTATGTCCCATGTTTATTGCCAGTACCTATAAATTGTCATGGTAAGAATTGTCTTAAATTTAATGCTAATTAGAATCCCATAATAAAAAAATCAATGTCTTTAAAAATAAAGTGTTTTTGCTATCAATTTTTATTTTAAAAACATATTAAAAAGTCATTCTTTTGCCTGTATCTTTATGACCTGAGTTTGAGAATGCGGGGCGCCTGGGTGGCTTAGTCATTAAGCGTCTGCCTTCGGCTCGGGTCATGATCCCAGAGTCCTGGGATCGAGCCCCGCATCAGGCTCGCTGCTCCGCAGGAAGCCTGCTTCTCCCTCTCCCGCTCCCCCTGCTTGTGTTCCCTCTCTCGCTGTGTCTGTCTGTCAAAGAAATAAAATCTTAAAAAAAGAGAGAGAGAGAAAATGGTATTTGGAAACTTGGTAAATTGTAAATAGCTGAGAGTAAAGTTAAGAACACTAAAAAAAACCAGCAATTATAAGGACCCTGTTAAACAATTTCTTTTTTTTTATTTTATTATGTTATGTTAATCACCATACATTACATCATTAGTTTTTGATGTAGTGTTCCATGGTTCATTGTTTGCATATAACACACAGTGCTCCATTCAGTACGTGACCTCTTTAATACCCATCACCAGGCTAACCCATCCCCCCATCCCCCTCCCCTCTGGAACCCTCAGTTTGTTTCTCAGAGTCCATAGTCTCTCATGGTTCATCTCCCCCTCCGATTTCCCCCCCTTCATTTTTCCCTTCCTGCTATCTTCTTCTTTTTTTTTCTTTAACATATAATGTATTATTTGTTTCAGAGGTACAGGTCTGTGATTCATCAGTCTCACATAATTCACCAGAGCACATACCCTCCCCAGTGTCTATCACCCAGCCACCCCATCCCTCCCACTCCCTACCACTCCAGCAACCCTCAGTTTGTTTCCTGAGATTAAGAATTCTTCATATCAGTGAGATCATATTATACATGTCTGTCTCTGATTGACTTATTTCGCTCAGCATAATACTCTCCAGTTCCATCCATGTCATTGCAAATGGCAAGATTTCATTCCTTTTGATGGCTGCATAATATTCCATTGTGTATATATACCACTTCTTCTTTATCCATTCATCTGTCGATGGACATCTTGGCTCTTTCCATAGTTTGGCTATTGTGGACATTGCTGCTATAAACATTGGAGTGCACATACCCCTTCGGATCACTACATTTGTATCTTTGGGGTAAATACCTAGTAGTGCAATTGCTGGGCCATAGGGTAGCTCTATTTTCAACTTTTTGAGGAATCTCCATACTGTTTTCCAGAGTGGCTGCACAAGCTTGCATTCCCACCAACAGTGTAGGAGGATTCCCCTTTCTCCACATCCCCGCCAACATCTGTAGTTTCCTGACTTGTTAATTTTAGCCATTCTGACTGGTGTGAGGTGGTAGCTCATTGAGGTTTTGACTTGGATTTCCCTGATGCCGAGCGATGTTGAGCACTTTTTCATGCGTCTGTTGGCCATTCGGCTGTCTTCTTTGGAAAAATGTCTATTCATGTCTTCTACCCATTTCTTGATTGGATTATTTGTTCTTTGGGTGTTGAGTTGGTTAAGTTCTTTTTAGATTTTGGATACTAGCCCTTTATCTGATATGTCATTTGCAAATATCTTCTCCCATTCTGTCGGTTGTCTTTTGGTTTTGTGGACTGTTTCTTCTGCTGTGCAAAAGCTTTTTATCCTGATGGACTCCCAATAGTTCATTTTTGCCCTTGCTTCCCTTGCCTTTGGCAATGTCTCTAGGAAGAAGTTCCTGCAGCTGAGGTCGAAGAGGTTGCTGCCTCTGTTCTCCTCTAGGATTTTGATGGACTCCTGTCTCACGTTTAGGTCTTTCATCCATTTTGAGTTTATTTTTGTGTGTGGTGTAAGGAAATGGTCCAGTTTCATTCTTCTGCATGTGGCCATCCAATTTTCCCAACACCATTTTTTGAAGAAACTTTTTGCCATTGGACATTCTTTCCTGCTTTGTCGAAGATTAGTTGACCATAGAGTTGAGGGTCCATTTCTGGGCTCTCTATTCTGTTCCATTGATCTATGTGTCTGTTTTTGTGCCAGTACCATACTGTCTTGATGATGACAGCTTTGTAATAGAGCTGGAAGTCCGGAATTGTGATACCACCAGCTTTGCTTTTCTTTTTCAACATTCCTCTGGTTATTTGGGGTCTTTTCCGGTTCCATACAAATTTTAGGATTATTTGTTCCATTTCTTTGAAAAAAGTTGATGGTATTTTGATAGGGATTGCATTAAATGTGTAGATTGCTCTAGGTAGCATTGATATCTTCACAATATTTGTTCTTCCAATCCATGAACATGGAACGTTTTTCCACTTCTTTGTGTCTTCCTCAATTTCTTTCATGAGTATTTTATAGTTTTCTGAATACAGATTCTTTGCCTCTTTGGTCAGATTTATTCCTAGGTATCTTATGGTTTTGGGTGCAATTGTAAATGGGATCGATGAAATAGAAACCAAAAGAACAGTAGAACAGATCCACGAAACTAGGAGCTGGTTCTTTGAAAGAATTAATAAGATTGATAAACCCCTGGCCAGACTTATCAAAAAGAAAAGAGAAATGACCCAAATAAATAAACTCATGAATGAAAGAGGAGAGATCACAACCAACACCAAAGAAATACAATTATAAGAACATATTATGAGAAACTATATGCCAGCAGATCAGATAATCTGGAAGAAACAGATGCATTCCTAGAGATGTATAAACTACCAAAACTGAACCAGGAAGAAATAAGAAACCTGAACAGACCTATAAGCACTAAGGAAATTGAAGCAGTCATCAAAAATCTCCCAACAAACAAGAGCCCAGGGCCCAATGGCTTCCCAGGGGAAATCTACCAAACATTTAAGAAGAATTAATACCTATTCTTCTGAAACTGTTCCAAAAAATAGAAATGGAAGGAAAACTTCCAAACTCATTTTATGAGGCCACCATTACCTTGATCCCAAAACCAGACAAAGATCCCGTCAAAAAGAAGAATTACAGACCAATATCCTTGATGAACATGGATGCAAAAATTCTCACCAAAATACTAGCCAGTAGGATCCAACAGTACATTAAAGGCATTATTCACCACGACCAAGTGGGATTTATCCCTGGGCTGCAAGGTTGGTTCAACATCCGCAAATCAATCAATACATTAATAAAAGAAAGAACAAGAACCATATGATCCTCTCAATAGATGAAGAAAAAGCATTTGACAAAGTACAGCATCCTTTTTTGATCAAAACTCTTCAGAGTATAGGGATAGAGGGCACATACCTCAATATCATAATAGCCATCTATGAAAAACCCATAGCGAATATCATTCTCAATGGGGAAAAGCTGAGAACTTTCCCCCTAAGATCAGGAACACGGCAGGGATGTCCATTATCATCACTGCTATTCAACATAGTACTAGAAGTCCTAGCCACAGCAATCAGACAACAAAAAGAAATAAAAGGCATCTGAATCGGTAAAGAAGAAGTCAAACTCTCTTTGCAGATGATATGATACTTTATGTGGAAAACCCAAAAGACTCCACCCCAAAACTGCTAGAACTCATACAGGAATTCAGTAAAGTGGCAGGATATAAAATCAATGCACAGAAATCAGTGGCATTCCTATACACCAACAAGACAGAAGAAAGAGAAAGCAATTCCTTTTTGCATTAGATTTCTGAAATGAGATAAAATGCAATTTAAAAAAATTAATTTTTGCTCTTGACTCAGTCAAAATATTTTTTGAAATTATATTCTTTGTTATACTAGAGGTTATTCAAAAAGTAAAAGCAATTTGTGTTTATGAGGGTTTCATTGTGTGTTATCATTGTTGAGCTTTTATTAAACATATATGCCCTTTATTCTGTTAAAATGGCTTTCAGCAGATTTCAGTCATATTTTGATGCAGGGTATTGCAAAAGCAACTAGTGTTCCTATTAATCATGTATGTCCTCAATTAAAAGACCATAGGCCTCTGGAAACTATATATTGTATGGTAACTTATTTTGTTTGTTAAACTAATTGGACATTTCTGGCAGAGGTTACATGTGTATGATACACTTTTCTTGAAGGCAGCTGTTGAATTGGACATGAAATATAATGTTTCCCTCTAAGTCTGATTCTTACAGGGGTATCTGCTGTCCCCTCACCATGAGTTAGTTACTTTTGGAAGTAGCATTAACCAGATTAGCTGCTATTGTGTTGTATTATGCCATTTCTAGAGGCACGAAAGTTGTATTAAAAAAAAAATCTCAATCTTGGTGGGAATCTGACTCATTAACTTGACTTATACATTAAAATTTCCCTTTATGAAGTGTGCCCTAGATTACCATATTATAGTTGTGTGTGTGTATGAGTGCATAGAAACAGGATATGACATTTATAATGATTTTATGTCATAAGTTGCATGCTGAAATAAATAAATCTATAAATTCCTTTTTGTGATAACCAGTTGTCTGTCCTTCTTTCAAAGTGGATTCGAGCTCGACATTTTAAATTGAGTGTGATTAAGTTAAATTTCTTAAACTGACTTATTTAAATTTTTCCTGTAATAATCTACTTTAAATAAAATTCTTTTGCATATCACCTCTATATCAACTTCCCAATCTATTTTTCAAGAGTTATAAAAATGTTAATGAGTGCATATGGCATTCAAGGACAGTGTATATTGTAGCAAACAATTATCTGGACTAAGACAAGAAGTATGTGTAGTTAGAGTAACCTAACAACCTCTGGTGCTAAGGAGTGAAATGTAGTTAGGGTGGCTATGTAACTTACTCCAACTGGGAGATTTTGGAGAAGAAAAGAGGTTATTATATTGATATGAGAGATATTAACAGTAGATGTTCTAAAACTTAGTCACTAAATTTATTATCAAAGTGAAACATTTGAACAAATTCAGTATTATTTTCTTAGTTGGTAGACCAGTAAGGAATCTAAATACATAAAAGTTGGGAATGCCTTATCACTTGAGGCTTACCAAATACTTTCCCTGATTTTTTATAATTACCTTGTGAAAATAATGAGTAAAACTCAATTGATGTAATTGGAAATATCAACAGTAAGTTTTGG